TAGAGACTAAATACAAATTTTTAATGCTGACATAACATGAACGTATACAAAATCGGCTATCTTGATTTTTTTTGTAAAATGCAAATTATTACATGAAAGTAATAATTATTAATATTCTATTTTAAAATATTGGAATTTTTATTTAAAAATTTGTATTTAGTCTCTATGCTAGTTTATAAATAACTTTGTTTTATAAAATTTTTGTTAAAAATAATAAATAATGGTACTTCCCTCTTGAAGCTTTTTCATATTTTCCTAATTTATTAACATTAATCTAAAATTTTTATAAGGCAACTCCATTTCCTCAACCAGCAGAACTTTTTATAAAGAATGACTTTTGGTCGTAAAATGAATAATAAAGATTTTTCCCCCTTGGGGACCCCATCCATGGACACACTGTATATTTTTTAACTACATTGCTCAGGATAGTGATTAGCACAGGTGCCGTTTGGTAAAGTACAATATTTTTACATGCCTTCGGGGCATATTTCATTTCGTTATCAGATGACGGCCAAAATTTGCAATGGGCTTTTGGGGTATATCTGCAATATTACAACAGTATTGGCCTTAATTGAACAATTCTTTTACTTACTGAACAACACTGTTATTTACTGAACGTCACGGTTATTTACTGTAAAGCTCTGTTACTCTCTAACTTATTATAATCTTTCTTAACTTAGGTACTAGAAAACATTGTCATTTCTCAAAAAAAGGTAAAATCAAAATATTGATATTTAGGCTTTTGGTTATGTCATATAGAAAGAAACGTTCACCTTCATGAGTTTTTATTCCATGAATCGTTCAAATAGTCATTAAAAATAAAAAACCGACCAGTGCTATTAAATTAGAGGGTGGAGTTTGAAGATGGGGATGAAAATGCAACCTTTACAGTTTTTAAATTATATCTCGATAACGAAGCAAAATTCAGGTATAGAAAGTAGGAATTTTGTAGAGAATGCTATTTCATAAAGAAATAGTTCATTAAAATAAAAAAATTTATGTTAAAAATGAATTTATTGTCGTGCGAAACCGACCCTGTTCTCTATTTACGTTTACCGCGACATAGAATCTGGCGTTGGCCATTATTGCTGTCCGTCCACCTCAACGACTCGAGAAACTAATTAGAATGTTTCTTGTATGTAGTTCGACGCGTAAAGGGCCTTTTTCCGAGAACTTCCAGACTAGCCTGGATCCTCCAGTCAGGGTTGGATCTTTATAGACTCCTACAATTTTACGCTTTCGCCGTTTAAGTTTCAATATAAGTGTTGTCCAGTAAAGATAAATTATAAAAATAAATTAGAAGTGTGTATTAAATAAATTAATTAGTACGTAGAGCAAATAAATTATAAATAAAATGTTTTATAGTATATTACGTAACAAGAGTTGTAAGTAACCCATTACGCACGAAGTGAAAAAGTTTAAATTTAAATTTCACGAGTGTGTAATGGCCCACTTATTTTCTTCTATTAAATAAAGGACATATGCTTGTGTCGCCAATCCATAAATTTTCGATAGGTAATTTCGTACCTTTATTTGGATTTTAGCGGTAACAAATTATGTGTGGATCTTGAGCTTTTTCTAAAATCTCCGATAGAGTGCTCATAATTTCATCACTTTCACTACTCACAGACATATTCGTAGGTAAAGTTGAGAAAATGTTCGAATACAATAATATTTTGTTACAAAAATTGACAATATAAGCGAATCGACGTTTATTTCCATAGCATGCTAAGAAAATGCGTCTTAGTTTTTTAAAATTCTATAATGTGTTGCCGACATTTAGGGGCATCACTTTTTTAATCCAAAACGTATCTCGTTAATGCTAAAAGTTTTTATGTTTTTAAATTGACTAAATTTATGTAAATAAACCAAATAAAGTCTTACGTAGATAAAAATTTGATTGCAATTTGATTAAACTAAGAAATTTAAGTTTTCTTATCAAAACGCGCGTGTATGTTATGAGATCTCATTACGTGCATGTTATTGTTAAAATGTCATTTACAAGGAATGTTGACAGTGCGATTTTTAACGTTTACTGACATGGGCGTAGAAAAAATAAATAAACTATTTTTAAATTAAACAATCGTTAGTTACAATATCTAATTTTTTTGTTTTATTTAACTTTTTTACTTTCATGCATTTTCTGAGCAGATATAGGTATAGGCATTGACTCATTTAAAAAAAGTAAATTAAATTTCCTTTAAAATGGTGGGTTAAAAAAGATTTTTGGATAAAAACGGACTGAGATATAGCCGCTATTTTTTCCGATTTTTATCGCGTTTACCTTAATATCGTTTTAGTTCTTATTTTGTTACAACAAATATTATTTTTTATTAAAAAAAAAAGAATTTTAAAATAATTTGTTAATAAAAATTCAATATTTTAGGAATATGAAAAACTGTGATCGATTTATAAATAAAGTCACAACTAATTACTCTTAAAAAATTATTTTTTTACGATCCAAAATATATTTTTTTTTTTGCAATAAAAGTTAACATTTTATACTAATTATTATTATTATTTTCATTGTTCATTATTTTCATTGTTTTATATATCATCATTAATGTTATCAAATTGGATATCTATTCCTTTGTCTACGTCTTCAAGAACATCGTCTTCCCTCCTTTTATCTCTGTCTTCCGTACATTTTCGCAATTGTTTGCAAAATATTGACCAAGTTATTCCTAACTTGCTATAACCACAGCTTCCGTGTCAACCTGTGGTATATCCACAAGTCACTTTCTAGAGCAAAATCTCTGACACAGGTGATTAATTTGTGCAAATCGCAATTAATCCATTTTGTTTATTTTTTCTAACCCCAGTCGAGTGTGTTTAAATGATTAGGTACCGTTCCACTGAGGCATTTGGAAATATCCTAAGCTATGGTGTTTGATGATATCGCGTGCTGTCGGTAATTGGACAAAAGAAAATTTTGCACTTTTTGATAGTTTGCAGAACAGATAGTTGCTTAAGGTCTTATAAAGGGTAGATAAAATATATTCTGATAAGTCTATTTCTTTTTCAGTTGCATTGTCACGTAAAAACGTGTCCATATCAGATTTTACATGTAAAATGTTTTTATATATCAATTTTAATTTTTTTTTATAAATCGATCACATTCTTAAAAATATTGAATTTTTATTAAAAAAATTAAGTTAAAATACTTTATTTTATTAAATAAAATTCAATTTTGATATAAAAATATAAGAATTAAAACGGTATTAAGGTAAACGCCCTAAAAATCGAAAAAAGCTAATTTTGAGCAGCTACATTTATATCTCCACCATTATTAAAGAAAATTAGTCTACTTTTTTGTATGGAGCAATTCCTATACCTATGTCTGCTTAGAAAACGAAAAGAAAGCAAATATTAAAAAAAAATATCGGATTTTTGCATTTTTTATATTCTTTTCTTTATTTTATAACATAAAAAAACTTTAATATTTTAAATAAATTATTTCGATAAGAAATCGCATTCTCTACATAAAAATTCCTATTAACTGTACCTGAATTTTGCTTCTTTTTCGAGATGGGTGCATTTTTACCACTATTTTCAATCTCCACCCTCTAATTCAATAGCATACCATGGTTTTTTCATCTTTAACAACCATTTGAATGATTCATGTGATAAAAACATATGACGAAATATGACATAACAATAGCCTAATTCGTTTTATTTGTGTTTCGACAAAATCATTTTAGGAAATAAAAATTTTGGAAAAACATCTCTGTAACTTACTGAACGTCTCTGTGATTTTTGATCGTCAGGAAAATAATATTACATTTTAAAAGTAAAACTAAAATAATGATGTTTGGCGACAAACCAATAAAATCTTTAAAAATCAAAATATTCCAGAGGTATACTGAATAATACTTCCCGTTTATCTCTGATTCTTATTGAGCAAATTATTACTATTGCTCTTACTTTTTAGGGTTCCATATCCGAAAGGTAACCAACGGGACTCTATTACTAAGCCTCGGCTGTCCGTTGGTCCGTCTGTCTGTCAGCTGTATCTCATGATCCGTAGACAATTGAAATTTTCACAGAATGTGTATTTCTATATTTTAGTAGTTAATGCTCTTCCTCGTAATCTTTCGATAATATAAATTTTTTTACTAAAAATTTCTAATTTTTCTATACATTTTATGTTTTTCCAGAATATTTTTTGCATTTAGCTTTTTTATTAAAAATATCTCATTTGTAACAAATCATTTCTAAGTTTTAATGAACATTATATACTTTTACTGAATGTTCATCGTACATATTTACCTAACATCTTTTGAATTAATATTAAACATAAAATTTTTTTTATAGAACTGTTCAATTTTGAATAAAGACGGTATATTTTCAAAAATAATCATTGAAGGCATTCATAGCTAAACGTTTGGATAACTGTTTATTTGAACGATGTGTGTTGGAAAGTTAAAATTCACCTAAATCTGTTTGTTGATATTTAAAAATTCTGTACCTAATTCCACTACTTAAAGCTGCTTCGAATTCAGTTATGCCTATAGAAAAGCCACAAAATGTGTTGAATAATAGTAAATTTCGTTATATAGGTAGCCTAATGTTAAGTCTTCTTAAGCTACGTGAAATATTTCGCAGAATTAAGTTAGCTTAGAAAAAATTAGGATAATATGATATATATTTAAACCTAGGCAACGTTTTGGTTTTACAGTTCTTTGACGATGTTGATGGTAAGTGAAATCCTTAAGGCTGATCTGCCATGTAGATTTTCAATACTTCTACTTTTACCGTGAGTATTTATATGGAAGTGGTAACAATATAATTTTAGGAATCGTTGGGGATATCAGGTGGGAATTTTTTATCAGGATCATTAATAATAATTAAAATGATGTTAATAAAACTTTATAGAACAATTTTATTCTCTCTAGTTAGGTACATGGAACTTTGTCGTTATTATACACATCATCATTGATTTACGTATTTATTAACAATTTTTTTCTTATATCACAATTTAAAAGTTTTATTTTTTTATGCTATAATATGTCTTACGAATTAGGGTAGCCTAGAAATAGCCATAACTGAAATTAAATCAATTTTTTGGTTATTTCATTTGGAATAAACCATCATGTTTCTTTTTAATATTATTTCAAATAAACCCCTATTATACCCTAATAGTTTTCTGTAAATTTACTTAAGAAGAGCTGAAGAATATATATTTAAATTTTCGTCTAAACTACTTGTTGGACAATAAAATATTTCGCGTTATTTTGGTCGTTTTTCTATAAGATTCAAATCAATAATTTTTTATATATCCTCATATATATTATGAAGGAATGCCACCAAATCATGAAATGATTTTTGATTAGTGCTGAATTATTTTTTGATAACTCGAATGGAGGTTACGTTAAAACACATTCGCTAAAGATGTTCGTGACGTGCATTTTTACACTTTTGTGACTTTAAATGATCCCTTCACGATATTTTTGTACGATGTAATTTCACAAGTCTTTGAATCGTGATTATAGATAATCGACCAAAATGCAAGTTTTTTTAGTCCAATCACTGTACAGATAACAAAACAAATAATCATTAAAAGATATTTAAACGCTTAGAATCAGAATGTCGTGTTCGGGTATCACGTTGTATAAACAACAAACACACTAGATGGTTCGAAGAGGCGATCCACGGCGGACGAGCTGGCTCAAAAGTTCTGGTATAATGAGCCCAGGTCGTCCGGATAGTAATCGTCTTGTCAGTAGACCCAAGACACCGGGATCCATTGGGGCGCAGTTTGGACGTGCTCGATTGCCGATTCTAGGGCGGTGATCGTCTCGTCGATATCGTTATTAATTATAGTTAGATCGAAATAATGCCCGTAGGCTTGCCGAAGCATATCGGATTCCTTGGCTAATCTTTCCAGACTACCGTCGAACTGAAACAAACAAATTCATTACTTATACTGATTGCGAAATTTGCTAAATGCTTATTCTACTGACTGCGCCAATTACTTACATCTGCTATGTTTTGCAGTGCGGGGGCAGCTATGAACACAACAAATGGTGAGAACTCAGCAGTCCGAAGCACTTTCAGTGCCTGTGGTTCAACGTCGAGGATAGCTATTTTACCGTCTTGATGGATTTTTCTAATCGTGTCTAATTTCGTGCCGTACATAGCATCCTCATGCGTACCATATTCTAGATACTCGTTCGCCGCTATGTCAGCCATCATCTCATCGTGTGACACGAAAAAGTAGTTCCTACCGTTTTCTTCGTCTGACCTGGGTTGCCTCGTTGTATCTGAAAATACAGAGACGTGTAATAATATACTATATAACTAGTGTGGAAAGTGAAATATAGTTACGTTTACCCTGTGCAGTCAATTTAAAACGTCCGATAATTACTTACGTGGTATTGGATAAGCATACTGATCTGGATGTTTGGCTATAAGCGTGTTTTTTATATGTCTCCTACCGACTCCATGGGCTCCAAGCAGCACCAGCGTTTTTCTTTGAAATGCAGGATCAGTCACTATAAAAATTAGAGATTCTTTAAAAAAAGGATCTTAAAAGTAGCCAAGAAAGTTGTTGAAAGTTTTTTAATAAAAAATAAGAAATTTTTATAAGAAGGTTTCATAACAAATTATAATAACAAATTTTGACAACAAATTTTTATAAAACATGTTTACAAGAGATTTTTATAACAAATTTTTACAAGAAAGGACCCGCTGTTTCCTTATAGCTAATGGTTTTTGGTCGAATCTGTCGAATTTCATATATGTAGCAGTTTCTGACCTCCTATTTAAAAGTGTCTATTGACACAAAGTTATCCTATGAATAGTTTTTGAACTTGTTAATTACTATTTATCAAGATTTTCTTTGGCTTAAGGTTTTCTCCAAAAATATTTTGTGCTTCTATGCTGGAAACATTTAAATTTTTAAGAAATTCATGCTTATTTTTTTTTTAATTCATCGGAGTCAATTTCTCAAATTTTTTATTTCTTTATTTGGATAATGCTCATCTGCTAGTTGTGATGGTCTCTTCTCATGATTTTTAAATTTTATTCTTTTTTTAAGACTCCGCCTTCTTTTTACCACATTACAAACTATTTTTGACACACATTTTTTTTGTGTACTGACAAGGTCTTTTCCCTGTAATGTTTTTATGGAATGAGGAATGTTATAAGCCTTTAGTGTTACTATATGTACAGAGTGGTCCATTTAACTTGAACGGTAAGTTTTTCAAAAAAAAGTTTAAATAAAAGTTGTTAGGCGTTACGGGGGATAAGTAATGATGAACATTTTTTTTACATTGACAACTTTTTGAAGGTTTTTCAAGGTTTTGTTTAAAGAAATTTTTCATAGAATTGCATCTTCAGTAGATAAAAAATAAAACAACATTTTTTTTCTCAAAATTTTATAATATTGAAATAGTTTACTAAAAATGTTTTTCTTCTTACAAAAAATTAAATGACACAAATTATCATATCAAACAACAACAAAAATTTAATGTAACAAATGCTCAAAATGATGACCATCAACTTCAACACATTTATCAATTCTTCTTATGAAGCTTTCGTGACACTGAATAAGAGTTTCTCTGTTGACAGCTCTACAAGCATTTCTTATGCACTCCATCATATGTTCCGGGGTTGTAGGAACTTCTTGATAAACTATTTGTTTAAGATGGCCCCATAAGTAAAAATCACAAGGCGTTAGATCAAGTGATCTATCGATTAGTGTACTGCTGATCTAACACTTCACGGGAAATTATGGCATAATGAGCAGGGAAGCCATCATGTTGAAACCACATATCTGCCCTTACTTGAAGTGGTACATCATCAATTAGATCTGGCAAATGTTGTTGTAGAAAGTCCCGATATTTTGGCACATTCAATGTTCCTTCAATAAAATACGAACCAATCAACATGTCTTCAATAATTCCGCACCACACATTCACGGACCAAGGGCGCTGATGTTCTACTTCCCTCAACTATCGCGGATTTTCCACACTCCAATAATGCATGTTATGACGATTCACCTCTCCATGGTTTGTAAATGTGGATTCGTCGGAAAATAAAACACAAAGTAAAAAAATCCTATTTATGTGTATTTGATTTTGTGCTCACTCACAAAATATCACTCGATTTTCAAAATCATTACCATGAAGTTCCTGATATGGATGAAATTTGTGGCGCTTTAATATTCTTAGAATACTGATTTTAGGAATTCCAGAATCTTGAGAAAGTTTTCGAGAAGAACCATGCAGATTCACAGCAACAGCTGCTAATACTGTGATTTCAATATTTTCACCAGTAACCGTGACTCATCGTGTTCTTTTTTTCGGCTGTACACTTCCAGTCTCTGTAAACTTTACAACACGGTAAAAAGACGCCCGGGATATAGCATTTCTATCAGGAAAACGGTCTGCATACAAAGCAACGGCATCCACAACACTTCTTCCACATTCACCATAAAGCAATATCATTTCAACTTTTTGGGCGATCGAAAGATATTCCATATTGGTTACACAATTTACAAGTTAATAATGACTACAGAATTGTACGTTAATAACGAAACAGTCTCTTCAGCTACTGCTCTCTTATCTCGGTATGATAAAGAAATTCGAAGTAATTTTCAGTAAAACTGTTTGAAATAAAAAACTCCAACCTATAATTCAGGTTTATTTCGAAGGTGATAACAACATTATTTACGTTTTTTGTAAGAAGAAATTCATTTGTTGTAAACCATGAATTATTAAAAAAATTAGAAAAATAATTAATATTTTATTTTTTATCTGCTTAAGTTGCAATAGTATAAAAAAACTTTGTAAACGAAACTTATTTGCTTTTTTCCAGGGAACCAGATTCTGAAATAAAAAAATCTATATTTCCATTTAAAAAAAGAGAGTTAACCTTGAAAAAACCTTCAAAAATATGTTAATGTAAAAAATTTTTCATCATTACATCTCCCCCGTAACGCCTAACAACTTTTGTTTAAACTGTTTTTTTGAAAAACTTACCGTTTTTGAGATATCGCGCTGTCTCAAGTTAAATGGGCCACCTTGTATAATAAGGCTGCGGCATGACATCTAAGTTCATAACTACCTCTTGATGTGTAATTAATTCTTTTCCCGTCAAAAAATTTGCATTGACGTTGTATTGTTCTGCGTAATTGTTATTAAACTATCTGCATGAAATTTTATTCTTGATATAGATACAGGGTGTATCAACGATGCGTGGGTGAACGATAGCTGCTTCCCTATATGAGATAGGAAAAAATGCTTCAAATAAAAGTTGTAGAGGGAATTGAAAGCTACGTTCCAAAAATAACTACCAATATACAGGGTGTCCGATAAATGTATGAGTTATCGAAGTAATGTTTTTTTAAAGGAAACACCCTATATATTTTTACTCGATTAAATTTCTTTGGAAGAGTTTTTCTCAAAAATATAGGGTTGTATGGGTTTATACTGGGTGGTTAGGAATTTATGGTGGGATTTAGGTAACAAAATGGGTTTATTCAACATCAAATATCTCTAAATCAATAATTTGGAATAAATTTTTTTTTCTGCCGAATATTCTCGAAAATAGTGTATTTTCATTTCCTATTTATAATTTTACCGAATGGCGCTTTTCCCATACAGGGGCAACCAAAACTCGGAACCACTTTTTTCTCAGTTTTTTCAAATGGAACACCCTGTAAATGAGACCTTACCAGGATAGCCCATACCATGAGCTTTCAAAAAATGTAGGGTTTGCCTACTTGATTTTTATCGGAAATGTATCTAATTCTTAAGGAACGTATAAAAAAGTTATAAAAGCAATAACTATTTATTTATTTATTTCATTCGAAAAAGCATAAATTCACATCAAATGTTCGAATAATCTCCCATTTTGAGCTATGCACAAATTAAGTATATCTACATTCATTTGCTCTTCTAACTTCAATTAAAGTTGATTTTGTAATAGAGTGAAAAACTTCTCTAATTCTATTCTTCATGTCTTCTGGTGTCGTTGGTTTTTCGCGGTAGACCTCTCCTTTAACATATCCCCAGAGATAGAAATCTAGAGGCGTGAGGTCTGGAGACCTTGCTGGCCACTGAATGGGTCCGTTTCTTCCTATCCATTTATTACTGCGCCATCTGTTTAAAAACCATCTTACCTGATTTTGATTGTGGGGAGGCGCGCCATCATGTTGGTAATATAACCTGAGTCTGGTGTCAATAGGTACATCCTCCAACAAAATTGGTAAATGGTCTCGGAGAAAATCTCTGTAAATTTCCCCATTCAGTGGACCATCAAAGAAATGTGGTCCTATGACCTGATCCCCAATTATGCCCCCCCAAACATTTATCGACCATCTATTTTGGTAATCAATTTCTCTGACCCAATGTGGATTCTCTGTTAAGTAGTAGTGGCAATTGTGTCTATTTACTATTCCATTACTTTTAAATGTTGACTCGTCACTAAATAAAATGTATTTTAGAAAATTTGGTTCCTCGCGAATGAAATTCAATATATTTTCGCAATAGCGAACTCTGGTGTCATAATCCCTTTCATAAAGTTCTTGATGTAATTCAATTCGGTATGGATGAAGTTTATTTTTTATCAATATTCTGTTCACGGAAGTGTGACTTATATCCAGCTCTCTTGCACTTTCCCTCGTACTAACATGAGGATTCTCTACTGTTGAAAGGATCACCGCTAATTCATTTTCTTCATTTGTTGCAATTTTGTTCACTACTTACCTTTTCTCGTGCTTGACACTGCCTGTTTCGTCAAATCTTTCTTCTCCGAAAAGTCTCTGGTCGTATAGACCTTGAATCAGGGTATCGAACTGCATACATTCTACTGGCTAATAAACAATTTCTATCACACTCACCCAAAATGTAGATCATATTTATCATTTCTTCGGTGGATAATTTCATTTTGAAGCGAAAAATTATTAAATTTCAACTATAAATTATTCTCCTCCTCGATAATTAAATGTCAAATTCCTATAACGTTCAAATGTTTCAAGAGTGATTTGATTTTTCGCTGTATTACAAGATCAACTTTAATGAAAGTTCGAAGAGCAATTGTAGATATGATTAATTCGGGCATAGCTTAAAATGTGAGATTGTTTAAACATTTGCTGTGAATATACGCTTTTTTAAATAATTGTTTGTTTATAATAAATAAATAGTTATTGCTTTTATAACTTTTTATACTTTCCTTAAGAATTAGATACATTTCCGATAAAAATCAAGTAGGCAAACCCTACATTTTCTGAAAGCTCATGGTATGGGCTATCCTGGTATGGCCTCATTTACAGGGTGTTCCATTTGAAAAACTGAGAAAAAAGTGGTCCCGAGTTTTGGTTGCCCCTGTATGGGAAAAGCGCCATTCGGTAAAATTATGAATAGGAAATGAAAATACACTATTTTCGAGAATATTCGGCAGAAAAAAAAATTTATTCCAAATTATTGATTTAGAGATATTTGATGTTGAATAAACCCATTTTGTTACCTAAATCCCACCATAAATTCCTAACCATCCAGTATAAACCCATACAACCCTATATTTTTGAGAAACACTCTTCCAAAGAAATTTAATCGAGTAAAAATATATAGGGTGTTTCCTTTAAAAAAACATTACTTCGATAACTCATACATTTATCGGACACCCTGTATATTGGTAGTTATTTTTGGAACGTAGCTTTCAATGCCCTCTACAACTTTTATTTAAAGCATTTTTTCCTATCTCATATAGGGAAGCAGCTATCGTTCACCCACGCATCGTTGATACACCCTGTATATATCTCTCATCATTCTGCATTCTGTCAGGTCAACTAGTCTGTTTTTTTTCTTTTCCTAACTTTGCACAAAAGTATTTAAAACAGTTCTCGCGATTACCAAATACATGATACACTTACAACTTAAAAAAAAATAACTCTATACTCCTAAATGTAATTTAAACTAACTAAAGCTATTCACTTAATTTAAATATAAAAATAATGTAAAACCCTCTGAATCGAACTGCGTTATAACAATATCTCACAATGCACCAAGAAAAACAAATGCGGTTCTGGTTTTCCTAATTCCAGGTAACTCTGACTTACTCAAGAACTGATGAACGTCGGCAGCCGTGGCAGAGAAAAAATATATGGGATGAAGTAGACGATTTCGAATTCGAAAGTTCAAATTTTGTACGTTCTTGATTCAAATATTATTTTCAAGCTCCACTTATTAGGTATGTGTGTGTTGGGTCATTGTTTCAAGAACAACTTTTTGAATTTTAGTACGTACCCTCGGGAGTTTACAAATTGTTGGTAATACTAAGTTAACGTAAAAAAAAATAACAGAAAGCAGTACCTAAAATTGATCCTATACAAAAAAATATTCATAGGAACTTATTTATGAAAATAAACTTGTTAACACGGCAAAATGGCAAAATGGCAATTTTTATATATTTGAACTTAATATAACTGTTTACTCTCCCTGTATGTGATGTTCGAAGTATACCAATAAAAACTCCCAGGCCGGATATTTTGGTAAGTAATATAGATATTTTAATTCTGTAAAAGCCAGTTCACAGAGCACTAAGAGAGCATTAGTTTTAGACATCAATTTATTTTAAATGGGTCAATATGTAGATGGCGTTGCGCTCCATAATTTTTTTCGATTTGAACATGAATTTTAAAGCAGATTTTGTTCTATAAACTAACTCGATAAATCTAGCCATTTTTGATATACAGAGTGGGTCACTCAAAACAGTTTCATCCTGTTTTTCAGCATTAATCATTAGATTTTAAGAAAATGCTAAAACAGGTCGATTTTTATTCTAAATTAAACACATTTTTACAATACAGACATCTGTCATATGTCAACCCCCTCCCTTCCACTTCTCCAACTCCTTAATTTTAATTAAGGAATGTCCTATGTACGGCACATTATTGAAAAGGTAATTTTATGGGGAAGTCAGAAATATTATAGTTTATTGCGATACTTTTAATTTTAGCGCCCTCTATCGGGATTATAAAATAGCGACATTCACTGAACCAACTGTCTGACTCATCCTGTATACATGTATTTTTTGTAATAGTATTATAGTTTACATTATTTATAAATAATCTATTTAATACCATTATTTTACGCGTTAAATTATTTGTTAAATATGCAGTTTTTCTACTTTAATTTAAAATACAGAGTGGCCCAAAAGTCTGGAAACGGCCAATTATCTCGTAAATTGCTAGTCCTAATTGTACAAAATTTTGGGTAGACCTATTTTGGGATACGGAGAATCCAGATTTGATATTTGCAATGTTGCCAGATTTTCCGTTTCTCTTATATTATTAGTAACTTTGGTTTTTCAAATTGATCACACTATATATTAAGTCATTATTGGAATCTCCTATTCAATACGAGTTCAACCATATATAACACTTATGATTTTATGTAGTCTAAAAGGTCTTAAATAAATAAAACAGAAGTCTGGCAAAGCCTAATTGTCTCATAAATTTTTTAATACAAACTATTTTCAACTACATTAAAACGTAACAATTGAAAGATTACACCATTTTTAACATAATGGTTACTTTATCAAGTGTTCAAAATGTGCTTCATTTGTGAGTTGACAGTACCCTAATCGATGATAGAGTGCATTTACATTTCTCCATGATTGTTTTATTTATTTAAGACCTTCCAGACTAAATAAAATCATAAGTGTTGCATATGGTTGAACTCGTATTGAATAGGAGATTCCAATAATGACTTAATATACAGGGTGATCAATTTGAAAAACCAAAGTGACTAATAATATAAGAGGAACGGAAAATCTGGCAACATTGCAAATATCAAATCTGGAATCTCCGTATCCCAAAATAGGTGTACCCAAAATTTTGTACAAGTAGGATTAGCAATTTACGAGATAATTGGCCGTTTCCAGACTTTTGGGCCACTCCGTATATTAAATAAATTATAGTTGTTTTCAAAAAAAGGTTGGTAATGTATTTTGGTAGTAACAAATATCTTAGAGAGTCAAACTGTAACTTTTAATATTTATGAATATTAGCAAAATAACAACAAAGTATTTCAGGACCCAAGTAATTCAACACCCTATATTTCAAAAACTAGTCTTAGGAGAACTTTGTGCCCGTGGACACTTTTAATTGGGAGGTAAAACAAACTGCAACAGATTCGACCGAAAGCCATTTGCCATAAGGAAACTGCGAGGTTTTTTTTATAAGAAACGTTTATAAAAAAAGTTTTATAAGAAATTTTTCTAAGAAATTTTTATAAGTAATTTTATAAGAAATTTTTTTAAGAAATTTTTTAAATAAATTTAAAAAAAAATTATAAGTAGTTTAAAGACATTTTGATAAGATTTTTTACATAAAAAATAAAACATAAATTACAAATAAAGATTCATTGTGATAAGGAATTAAAATGCAAATAAAAATAATAATAATAATAATAATAACAAAGTGGTTGAATACTTACTGGGCAATTTCACAACCTCTTCGTAAGTAACTAAATCTAATTGGTCAAAAACGGCATTATGCTTCGCCAAATATTTGTCCTTGTACTGTTTCTTTTTTCGACCAAATATTGAGCAATTCACTGAAACAGAAAATCATTTAACAACTACCGATCAAATAAAAATATTCCTTTCGTTTTGGTTAACTAAGTAGACAAAAAATCAACGATCAGTAAGTACCTAAGGCAAGACTCTTAGAAATAAATGTTCAAATCCTCCTCGTCTTAACGATCATCGTCGTTTGCTCGTTAATTGGAGACTAGCTTTAATGGCGAAATGTTAATTGCCGAGAAAACTGTACAGTTGCTTTTAATTAAATACTTATTTGAGATTCTAACTGAGAAACTTTAATGTATATATTTCAATTCTGCTTTGATCTTCAGTCATTTTTTCGCTCAAATTATGATACTTCATATGTACGGTCTAGTTTATAACGCGTGATCTAGGACTGTGAGTTATAAGAAGAGAAATTCCGTTTTTTTAACGACAATTTAATGAGTTATTTGAAAAAACCAAAGATAATATGGAAAAAACTAATTAAAAGTGAAAATTATATATACCTAAAGATCCACCGTTTTACAGAGAGCGTTATACAGTGTGTGACGTCACAAAACGTTATGGTTGTTGTCTGCTGCTATTAGTTCACAGTACCTCTGCTTTGCTTGATTACCACATGTTCAAAACTTCGTAAGTGGCTTCATTTTTACAAGTCTTCCACACTTTTTCTACGCAAAATTTCACGGAAAGGCTGCGTTTTCGATTGCGCGACGCTTGAATATGTCTAAATTACGATGTTATAATATGTAATACCACGACGACGCGTCTTACGGCAAAAATTGGTCTTCAAGCAAATTAAACGCGCACGTTTATTTAATCGCCTGGTATTGATGCAAAATGAGCTCCAACGGCAATAGACTCAGATTATCCAAATCGGAAGACGAAAAATTAATTTACGAAGTGTCAACGCATCCATCGTTATATAATTTACATTATAAATTGTATAAGGACCAAAATGTACGGCATAATGTTTGGAAAGCAATAGCAAAAAACATGGACAAAAGTGGTAAGTTTCTCAAATAAACGTATTTTTCATGACACATTTTTTGTTTGGAAAAGAAAGTCATTACAGTTGATTTGTAAATGTTTGAAAGGGTTACCTACCCAAAAATTTAAATGGTACAATATTAATTTTATCGATATGATGTTGACATTAACAACTATTTCAATGCCGTACATTTTTTTCCAGTCACTGAATGCAAAACACGGTGGAAAAGTTTGAAAGAAGTGTATTGGAAAAAATAGAAAGATATGAAACAGGGCACTGGTTCCTCGGCGAAAGCTACTGTTTTGTATCGTCGCTTCTTTTAGAAATAAAAGGCTTTTTGTGAGTTCTGACTTTTTACTTTTTATATTGTCAAAATTACTAAATTACATCTTTTTTTTTTAACAACAAACTAATATTATTATCCGTGAAACAAGTATCAGGTAGTATCCAAGTATAAAAAGTATAAACTAATAACATAATTAATAAATAAATAACTATCAAGTGTAGACGACACGACAGCTACCATTACATGGATGGCACATGCATGCTCTTAACTTTTTAGAGCAAAAAGGTCTAATAGAATGTAATGTAAACATTAACCGAACCAGAAGAGCTTTTCTCAGATAAAGAAATGGAAGATATTGAAGAGGAAAACGATACAAATACGGAAAGAAATTCTCCACAAACACAAATTTTGGATATAGATATAAATGAAGGTCTACCAAGAAAAAAGAGAAGTATTGTACGAGAAAAATTAGATATAAATGAAGGCCCACTAAGAAAGAAAAAACTTATTGGTAATGAAGAACTTTTGGAAACAATTAACAAGAGACAAACTAAAAAATAGCATATATTTAAAAAAATTGAAGAATCACGACTTCAGACAAAAACCATCCAAACCAACAAAAAATATCAAAACCATCTCTAGTGGTTAAGTCATAATCATAAAGCGAGTACCAGAGAATGATGATGGTTTCGAAAACCGAAGACAGTTGGTCATTATAAAGACCAGGACCGACGAGAGGGGGGTAGCCGGGACTTATTCTTGGGATTCGGCAGCGGCATAAGGGAGGCCCGGCCGCTTTAGGTGAGGACGTTTTTTACTTTTTTAGAAGTTCGCCCACAAAAGGAAGGAGCGCTGGTTTACGTAAAATACAAGATAAGGACTTTTTTTTAGAGATTTTACTAAAAAGGGGGACGTTTTTGCTTGAGGAACTTTTTTTTTTAGACATGTGATATTGGAAGGGCTTATCAGTTTTATAAAATTGTCGCGGGACGCCACCTGGTACCGACCTGGCTCAAGACTATAGTAGCCGTCAGTTACACGACAATCCATCAGAAGGACATCTCGGTGTTAAAAAAACCATTCAAAGAGTTCTTGATAGGTTTTATTGGATGAACAGTTTCGATGATGTAAAGACTGGTGTAAAAATGTAGTAATGAGTAATGAACCTCAAGAAAAAAGAAAAGCTCCCATGGAGCAATACATCTTCGGTAACCCATTTGAGAGAATTGCCTTAGACATTATTGCTGGACCATTCTCCATGACCGAGAATGGTAATAAATACATGATGGTGGATATGGATTATTTCACGAAGCGGGTAAAAGTCTACGCTATCCCAAATCATGAGGCCGCAACTGTTGCAGACGTGTTGATAAAAGAGTTTATCAGTCGATTTAGAGTGTCCTTGGAGATCTACAGTGACAAAGTCAGAATTTTTGAGGAATTTGTTACAGACTAGGCATACAGAAAATCAGAACTACAGCATTGCATCCACATTCAGATAGAATGGCAGAGAGAATGAAAAAGATCATTGGCAAGTACCTGTCAAAAGTGGTTTCCAACCATCAGCGAGATTAGGATCAGTTTCTTTCGCTCTTTGCAATGGCCTCTAGATCCGCTATCAATGAATCAATAGGCCAAACACCAGCGACGTTTCTGTGAATTTTCGCAGAAGAAAAGTGTGGTATAATCGTAAAAATGAAGCAACCCACGAAGTTTTAAATATGTAGCAATCAAGCAAAGATAGACGCACTGTGGGACCATATTATCCCGCATTGAAATTCAAAAGGTAGTCTACTTTATAAATCTGATCAAAGTAGCATATTTCGAAAATGCCGCTAGAGCAAGTATTTACAAAGGCTAATTTAGGAAATTTACCAGTAGTGTATATTTTCATGTTTATGGAATATTTTAATAAAAATAAAAACTTTTATCAGCTACGAGAAAAGGGCTGTAAAATTACAAAAATAAGTTTCTGTCCAACTAGAAAAATAGATGACATTTATGTACGATTCTTCAACATATTTGTCTCTTTCAAGTTCGAAGGCGAATTGCGAATTGCATCTACCCGCAATTCTGTTGGAGTCTATTCAAATTAACTTGTTGAGCATATTTGGGAGTATATAGACAATTTTATTATTGAAAGTGCCGTTCAATCTGTAACTGGCTAAATAATTAACGGAGTGTCAGATTCAACCAACTTGTTAAGGTGCGATTTCGGTAACGCGGCAGGCTTTGGCGGCTAGCAGCTTCGTCTCCAGTCGCTACACTGGTTTGTACAGTTTCAAATGGAACCAATTTGGTTTGTGCAGCGCGACTAAAGCGGCGGCAGCCCGCGCTGCAGCGGCTGCTGTTCGACTGCTCGCGAAGCACTCGAGCGGCTGAAATCGTAGTGACTAGGGCAAAAAATGGCGCCATCTACGTCAAATGACGATGAAATTTTAATCAACGAAATACAAAAATTTCCCGTAATTTATGATTATGATGACAAAAATTACAAAAATTTTGTTATTAAAGAAAATTGTTGGAAAAAGGTCGATAAAGAATTAAAAAAAAAAGAAGGTTGGTATCATATTGTAAACAAATTTATGCTATTTTAATAATAGATAACATTTGGTAAAATTCTTCTTCATCTTCCTCTTCTTCTATGTTTGTTGCAGACCTCTCCTTCTCATGTGGTTTCCCAAAAGACAATGTCCTGCCATCAGTCCCGTGAAAATACGTAGATCATACAAGGCAATATAACAAGTTACATACTAAACGCTATTTTTATTACTAAAATTATCTTTGTACACTTACAAATATGTCATACAGCTAACTTGAATGTACCTCACGAGAATTGCAAGTAGCTGCAGAAAAGCTTAAGGCATGAATCCGGAAAAAGCAGAGAGAGATAGGAAAATACTTATGAAGTATTAATTGAAATTTGCGAGTAAGGAAGTGACATGCAAGCCGGGAAAGTGAAGTAAGCGATAAGTCGCTTTTCAACTATTTCGAAGGGGTCAAATCCACAGATTACTAACCGATTGTGAGGAAAATCATTTTCCTGGTGCTGTTACTGGCTGATTTTTTGTATTCCGCAACAATAGAGATATATTACAATTTCTATAACGTCAGCCACTAATAGTGACAACGTAATTAGAGGCAAAATTCTATGCTAAAAGAAGACTTATTGCAAACCTGAAGTTTTGACATTAGAGTCATTGTCCTTACACATATTTATAAACTCATTGTAAAAATTTTAAAATGCAGTTAATATTTTTTGTTGTTTATAATACTACATAATATGGAACAGTCATGATAATAAAAACTAATTCTTTATTGAAACAAATACTTTATTATGATGAGATACTTGCACTCAAATTCAAAAAAACTTTTCTAAGAGAAATTACTTCCTAGTAATAAATAGAGAATTATTGCAAGTTCACTTAAGGCCAGTTACTATTAGTCGCTCTCTTATTTTGACATATAAACATGCGCAGATCGTTAAATTACAAATGTTTTTAACATAACATAAAATAGTATATATAAAAAATGTTAATTATAAAACATTGCGTCGATTCTACCTTGTTTGGTTAGCAGAGTCACATTAAAACTCACTTATCATGACGGATGCTTTATCTAGGGTTTCTGAGATTTATGAACGCCCCATGACAAATTTCTGGATGCGCCACTGTAGGAGCGCGATAAAAGGTAAAATATATCAATATTAAATTATTCAAGATAACAGGAAACAAGATATAACGTTTTATGAA